ATGTTCATCTTCATTGCTGTCCATAAAGGCCTCCGCTAATTTTAACAGTGCCTCCTTATTTTAGACTTGCCCACAAAAGTTCTCTCCCTCTTTAATTTGTCCAACCCATTCAGGATCTTAAACACTTCGATCAAGTCACCCCTCACAACCTATGTCCGTCCTTCTGCAAACACACTGGCCCAGATTTTCCGACAGTTAGATAATCATTTCTGCCATGCAGGTGGGACTTGCACTATAGAAACTCTGTGAAATCCCAACTTGCCATGCTCGGCAGGAATTTCCTGAGAAATTGAAGTTTCCACCAGTCGATTTCCCCTGATCCTAGAACCCTCTGAAAGAGTCCATTTAAATCTGAGAATTTGGAGGGTCTCGCTACAGTTAAGTAAATGGTTACTTTGGAAAAGTCGGTTACTAGATACGCCGCCAAACTCCTGGGTAAATATTCAACTAACCGCCAACTTGTGTCACACACTCACTTGGCACTCTACTCTTCTGGCACCCTCAACTCTCACACTTATCTTTCATATTCACCCCTTGACAGCAGATGTCAAGGTGGCTATCTGTGACGCTGGACCCTTTAATGACTGCCGTGAGAAAGGGAATGTGGCTTTCCTTCCAGCAACTGTCCGACACCACAAGTAACATGTTAGAATGGAAGTATGGCCCTACATTTCTGAAGGAGCCCTGATTAGAGTCTCCTGTAAGAAATACAGAGCACTTTGGTTGCATAAAAAGGAGCAATTAGCGTGACATAGCATTTGAAAATCAGGCCCCTTGTGCCTTCATAGCAAACCTTCCTCCCATTGTGTGGTCTGTGAAATTAGCTACCAAGCCTTCATTGCCCACATCCAAGTCATTGATGTATAGTGCAAAAAAAGTTGAAGTCCCATCATGGTACTCTATGGAACTCTCACGTTCATATCCTGACAATCTGCAAAGACCCAGTTATGCGTACTCTGTTTTCTGCTAGCCAGCCAATCTTCTCTCCATGCTAATATGTAACCCCCCTCCATCGCAAGCTTTCATTTTCCACGATAGCCTTTGAAGTGACACCTTATCAGATGCGTCCTGGGAAATCTAAGGATAGTATTTCCTTCACTTGTAAAGAACTCCGACGAATTGCTTGGTTTTGCCTTCACAAAACTATGCTGACTCTTCCGAAAAGTTTGAGTTTTATTACTCAAATGAGTGCTCAGCTGTAACCTCTTTCTCCCCTAAGCAGACATCAAGCTAATTGGCCTATTATTTCCTGTTTTCTGCCTTCCTCCCTTCTTGAATAGAGGGGTTATATTTGCTTCTTTCTACTGAGGAATCCTGGCAATTTTGGAAAATTAACACTCGTGCATCTACCACCTCATTAGCCACTTTTTTTTTGAGGGTCTTCAGATGCAGTCTGTCTGGACCCAGTGACTTAGCAGCCCCAGCTCTGTCAGATCGCTTAGTACCACTTTCCCAGCAACTGAGTAAATTTAACTAGGTTCCCCTGTTCTTTCCGTAATGCTGATTTACTGCTGCTACTGGAATGTTATTTGGGAATACCATGTGCAAGTGCCCCTCCAAGCCACTCACCTCGCTGACTTGCAAGTATATCACCATTTCTTCACCGTTTCTGGGTTAAAACTCTGAAACTCCCTCCCTAACAGCATTGGGGGTGTACCTACACCAATCAGACTGAAGCAATCCCAAAAAGACAGCTCACCGTCACCTTCTCAAGAAGAGTTGGGGATAGGCAATAAATTCAGGCCCTGCTAGTGAAGGCCATATCCCCTGAATAAATAAAAGAAAATCCTCTCCTATGCAGACAGAAGCAAAATATTTATTCATTTCCTTTATTGTCTACTATTATCTCCCCATCCTCACTCCCTGGAGGACCAATGTTCACCTTACTTATTCTTTTCCTTGTTAAATACCTTCAGAAACTCTTACTATCAATTTTTACATTTCCCAATATCTTCCTCTCATACTTTAATTTCTTCTTCCTGATGAACCTTTAGGTAATCCCCAGCCGTATTCTGACCAACCATCCAACTTGTCAGTCAACTTTGTGCCGTTACATGCTTTTTTTTCTCAAGTTTGATACTTCCTCTAATCGTAACTAACCACAGAATGTAGGTCTGCACTATACAATTTTCCTTCATCACAGAAATATACTTACTCTGTGTGTTCTGAAATATCCCCTTAAACATCTGTCATTGTTTCTTTATGCTCCATTCCCTAACCTAGTATGGCAGTTCACTCCAACTCATTCAGATTTCGAACTTGCTTTAAGTTTAAGAAAACTAATCTTGGACCAATCTTTGCCCTTTCAAAGTGGATGTAAAATTTAATCATATTGTCATCGTTGCAACCTAAGGATCCTTTACTTTAAGGTTATTAATTAACCCTGTCACACTGGACAATGCCAAGTCCAATATAACTGATCTCTGGTTGATTCCCGAGTATGGTACTCCAAGAAACTATCTTGAAGGCATTTGATCAACCCCTGTGCAGATTAAAGTCTCCCATGATGATTCCCAGCCCTTTTATCACAAGCGCCTAATATTTCTCCTAGGTATCTTGTCCCACATTGTGGTTACTGCTGGAGGGCCTGTAGACCATTCCCACTAGTGTCTACTTACCCCTACTCTTCCTCATTTCCACTCAAACCAATTCTGCATCCTGATCTCCTGAACTAAGGTCAGCTATAACTCTTGTGCAAGTGCTATCCACCTGCACCTAAGATTCCTTTTCTTCTTGAATGTCACGTATCACTCAATTTTCAGGAACCAGTACCTGTCATCCACAGTTCCATTGTAGCAATTGGTCATATTTGCTCACTTCAATATGCTTTATCCATTTGTTCACTTTCCGAATGCTACACTCATTTGGATACAGAGCCTTCAATTTTGTCTTTTTTAAAGTTTTCCCTAGTTTCTTTTCTGTCTGTTCTTTCCTAATAGTCTCTGGCCCTCATTTCCCATCTTACTATTTTAACTTGTCTTTTCTCTTTGTAATAATGACATCTTTCCACATTTCATCCCTCGCCCCACTATTTAGTTTAAAACTCTCTCTGTTTCCATAGTTGCACAGTTTACAAGAACACTTGCCCCACTGTGGATCAGGTGTAGACCGTCTCAATGGTACAACCCCCACTTTCCCCACTTCCAATGCCAATGGCCCATAAACTAGAACCCACTTCTTCCACACCAGCCTTTAATGTCTGTATTCATCTCTCTAATTTTATGTACCCCCGTGCTAATTTGCACCTAGCTCAGATCGTTAATTCACAGATTATAGCTCTTAATTTAATTTAGTTTCTAATTTAGTTGCTGGCTCCTCATATTCACTGAGCACATCTTTTTCCAAGATCTATCTGTGTTGTTGGACATCTTATGGACCATGAGCATTCAGTCCTTTCCCCTTCATTTAAAGTACCTTTCCAGCCCTGAACAGATGTCCTGATCCCCGGTCCCAAGCAGGCAACATAGTCATCTCTCTCTTTTCTGCAGGAAACGGCTTCCTTCGTCATTCTGTAATTACCACTGTCACTTTGCTTGTTGCTCCCCCCACTTTAATGGCTTCCAGTACCTTGGTGCTGTGGTCAGATTGTTCATCCACCTTGCAGACCCCCTGTTCTTATCCAAACGAGCTGAGAGAACATCAAACCTACTGGATTATTGCCGAGATTGGCATTCCTGACCTTTGGGTCCCCTGACCTGCTTCACTGACAGTCACAACTCAAGGGAGGGTGATGGCCTAGTGGTATTATCGCTGGACTGTTAATCCAGAGACCCAGGTACTGTTTTGGCAACCCAGATTCGAATCCCGCAGATGGTGGAATTTGAATTCAATAAGAAAAAAACTAGAATGCAGAGTCTAATGATGACCATGAATTGATTCTAGGAAAAACCCATCTGGTTCAGTAATGTCCTTTAGGGGAGTAAACGGCTATCCTTAATGGGTCTGGCCTACATGTGACTCCAGACCCACAGCAATGTGGTTGACTCTTAACTGCCCTCTGGGCAATTAGGGATGGGCAATAAATGCTGACCTATCCAGCGATGCCCTCATCCTGTGAATGAATTTAAAAATAAACTGCCCATTGACCAAATCAGAAGGTTGTGTTCTATGCATGGTGCCTGCTTGTTGATATTAAGAATCCAGGAACCTTGCCCCCCCTCTCTGATGTGTTATGATGTATCTAATTCAGTCTCCAGTTCATAAACTCTGAGCCGAACCTGTTTGGATGTCACTTACAGTAGACGTGCTTGCCCAGTGTCACGGTGGTATCCAGGAACTCCCACATGCTGCTGCATTGATGTAGCACCAGTCCTGCCGTCCTTCATAAGTTTTAGTTACCTATTTAATTATATTATTCATTTGTTTATTAATGTATTTATGTTGCTTTGTTTAACATTTACTAACTTTTTATAAAATGTTAGAACTTTATAGGATAAACCTTAACCACTTACCAGACATTCGCCACTCCCTCCTGTCTCTTCAGCACAGCAAGAACCAGTTTCTATGGGGTTAGGAGAATAGAAAAACGTAGGGAAACAGTGGCCACCTCTCGCCTATCTCAACCCCCTCTGTTTCCTTAGTAACTTTTGTTGGGCCTTGGTTATACTGAAGAACCTTGTATTCGTAGCCAGCTGAATTAGGCCTTAGAGAAACCGCTTTTAATCAGTTAGCTACCTAGGTGCTTGCCACTCACAGCAGAGTGCATCTCAGCTGCAAGAAAGCTAGAAAGAAACATGGTGTGCTTACTCGGGACTTCTCAGTCAATGCAAATCGCAGACACTTCCGGACGCTTCGAGGTCGGGCAGTGTTCTATAGACATTGCAAGTTTTTTTTTCTGATGACTACCCCAGACATCTGAGTAAGTGCTTTCTTTTCTGCCAATGTTTCTCCTAGAACAAGTTGACTTGGATAGTGTCCCATCGCTGTCAGCGGGATCGGAATCGACTGTAACCTTATCGCACCCCAGCAGGTACCGTTCCTCCACCAGGACAAGTGAGACCGTGACCTTCACCTCTCCCATTTCCTTCTTTCCCACCGGTTCTGGTCAGGTAACGTTTCTCACCGGCGGCTTGTGCACTTGCGAATTGCGCTGAGATTTCAAGTTGCGTGGTAACCCCCCCGCCCCACCCCCCAAAAGTAATATTAGCTGTCGCGGGGTTTGCAATCTGATCATTTCCTGACGTTTAGTCTCTCTCCACTCCAGTATCGGCAGCATGGAGGATGAGACGGACAACTCCCTGTTCAGCGGCGCAGGTTCCACCTCGGACAGCGTCTCCAAATATCCGCTGGAGGAGAGCAGCCCCAGAGCGAAAGCAGAACCTGCCGAGCGGGAGCCTTACAGCGAGGGTCTTGGGTACGGCCACCACCACGGTTCCAAAGACAGGCACCCTGAAACAAAAAGCACCGAGACGGACCGAGTGGTCCCATCAGAGACGTAAGTGACAACAGTGTCCCTTTCGCCAGGTCCTCTCCCATTCACAAGCGAGGAGCGGACGTGTCGCCACGATCACAGCACCGCACCAGCCCGCGTATCATCATTCAACTCCACTGCGATTCTCTGCCCGTCAACCGTATCTCTCGCCGCGCCTTAACTGGGAACAGTGTGTCGATTATCAAGCACCCCCCCCGCCACCCCCGTCTCCAGCTATTGGGCGAGCCAACAGAAAATGTGTCAAATCCCAGTTAGACCGCCAAGCTGACCAGTTTGTCTGACTGGCTGCTATTCCAGACGAAAGCTATTCCTGCCCAAGTTTTGTCATTTTTGGGAAATAGCTATTTATTGCAACCCACTTTGTAAAGAAAGAGGGGGAGAAAAGGGTTGGGGTTGCTGTCAAACAGATAGATCTGGGAGTGCAAGTACAAAGTTCTTTGACAGTGGTGTTGCGGGTAGACAGGATGGTGGAAGAAGGCATTTGGCCTGCTTGCCTTCATCGGTCAGAGCATTCAGCACAGGAGTTGGGATGTCATGTTACAGGTGTACAATACATTGGTAAGGCTAAGTTCAGAGTACTGTGTGGAATTTGAATCCTTCCCTGGAGAGTAGGAGGCTGATGGGTGACCTTCGAAAGGTTTATAGAACCATGAGGGGTCTTAAATAGCCAGGGTCTTTTCCCCAGGGTAGGGGAGTCCAAAACAAGAGGGCATAAGTTTAAGGTGAGAGGGGAAAGATTTAAAAGGGACCTGAGGGGCAACTTTTTTCACACAGAGGGTGGTGTGTGTATGGAATGAACTGGCAGAGGAAGTGGTAGAGGCTGGTACAATTGTAACATTTAAACAGACAACTGGACAGATACATGGATAGGTAAGTTTTGGAGGGATATGGGCCAAATGTAGGCAAATGGGACTAGATCAGTTTGGGAAACCTGGTCAACATGGACAAGTTGGACTAAAGGGTCTGTTTCTGTGCTGTATGACTATGACTGTATGATTACTGTACAACTGCAAATCAACTTAAATGCTACTTAAAAATCCCAAATACGCACACACTCAGTTAACGAATAAAAGACAAAAGACAGTTTAAGACACATATTATGGGTGGAAAAATAACGACAAGGAAAACAAAATTCTAAAGATTGAAGTCCAGATCACAAGAATGGGTTAAATTGTCTCTCTCAGTTTTTTTTTAAGCAATGGTCATTTTTCACATTAATCCAGTGGACCAAGGTATTTCCTTGTATTAGAATTCTTTGTTTCCAGTCTCATTTTTTTTTTTTTAAAAACCTTTTCACTTGCACCAAGAGGAGGTGGAAAGAGAGAGGATTTCTGTCTGCTGACTCCACAAGTCTCTGACTGCTGTATATTTACGGATCTGAAGCAAACTACATCTGGACCAATCAAAAGGCTATCGTCAGGCAGGTTGTCAAAAACTCCTGGTGACATTCTGTCTCCGCAGTCTCGGTGCTCCGGCAGCAACATTGCCTTTCACAACTGAAAAAGGGCACCACCTTATTTTTCCAAGTTGCACATGTCTGGCATTCTAGCTATGCAACAGTGTCAAAAATCCATTTTAGTTTATAG